ATTTGTGCGTCCAAATGTTATTGATGCAGTCAATCCACTTGCCGTGAAGTCGGTCTTTTTGTCCTAATGCCATCATCCCCCGTCTAGTTGCACACGTCCATTCATTCGGATACAACAACCCAATGTGCCATATATGTGCTTGTTCTCTTTAGATGGGTGATTGAGCAAACTAAACGAAATGTTGATAACCTCGTAACAGATGCATTCTCTTAATGTTGCTGTAGTGGATANATATCTGTGATCAACTCACACATCGGAATAAACACACGCAATTCTCTGTTAGTTCCCATTTCAGATGCAACCAGTTATCTTAGTTCACTTGGTACAAGAAAGCTTTTGGCCTGCTGCACCTCAGTCAATTTAGAAAAACTTCCAACAGAAACAAGAGAGGTCTCAATCAAACAAACAAATGACCCCGAGGGTATACATAGCTCGACCGTCTGTAAGATCATTCTCGTGGTGTTGGATAGACAAAACAAAATCAATACACGTTTGAGGCTTGTTGATCTGGCACGTTGACAGAGCACATGAGACTTATCTAAATGAGTCCGTCACACAGATATACGCGCGCACACGTGTTTGAGTGCGCGAGTGTGTTGTTCGGCTAAGTCATGTGAGTAGTGCGGTCACTGCAAAAATGAGGCTTGGGTAGGACCGTTTAAAAAGCGGGAATGGTGAGTACTCGAGAGTATGGGTATGAGCAGTTTACCATCGAATTACCTACATGGATAGATGGGTGGAAGTGAACTGACCGCTGCGGATGGCATGACATCGTACCTGTTTGGTAGACTAGTGTGAGCGAGTAAAGGGTTCAGTCAGTGATTGTTTTATTGTACTGAGTAACTTTTGGAAGCACTGAAGTTTAAATTTCAGTAAAAAGTATACGTGCCCACCGCTACACGGAACATATTTTAAGGGGGAAAATGTTTACAGACAGCATAGACACCTCAAAGTTTAAGGCTAAGACGAGGTCAACTTGTTACCCTCAGTTTGTGAGTGAACAGGCAAGATGGGGTACAGAGGAATTAGGGTAAGTGTTTATACACGATGACCTCCAAAAGCCTCAGTATGGTCGGGGGTGGGTGTCTAGGGTTGCGGCTGGTCACCCTGCCCTTGCACCTCACGAAATGTTCTCATACGACCAAACGTCTCAAATAGCCTCTGCTGAGGAAGCCCTACTCACTGCCTTCTCGCGGCGGAGGTTTTTCTCACCAAAGTGAGAGGACGAAAAGCCCCCAAACGGGACTATAACCGGTTTGGTGGACCACTGGCAGTTCACCTAAAGGAAGTTAACCAAAAACCCTGATTCCAAACCAACCATGAGGCGCACGAACCATACATACAACTTCCTGGTTGTGGCAGTGGTCACCGGCTCGATTGGGCATTGAGGTGTATTGGACACTTTGGACGTCTGACCCCGTTCGAAGGGCGTATGATCCGATGAACTGGACACCGGCTCCCAATGGATTGCGGTTTTCACACACCGTCCGGCAGCCTTACGGGTTAGGCTTAAGCAAGCCGAAAGCTCCGGTTGTGAATTCCCTAAGAAGATTTATCTGCCTTGGCCTGGGCAACCTGGCAGTACTCAGCCCACAAGCCAATCATGGAACATTTTCTTTTTTATAAAGATTATTGTACCATGATTTGTTTGGCACACAGTCTGCCCTCAGAAAAGTGTGAAATATAATATATAATTATACATGGTATTTGTGAGAATTCGGTGTGGAGGGATAGGAACGATAAGGTGTCAGTTCTGTGTGCAATATGTAGTTAGGGTCTGCCAGAATTCTTTGCACAAAGTTGACACACGAAATTGTATGAAAATCTGAAAGCTTCACAACTAACTCGTTCATAGGAATTGAAGAAATGCGACTAATACTCGTTCGATTGCGGTGTAAGATATAAAAACTTCGGTTTATTGAACTAGGGAAAATAACTGTAAAACAATAAAAATGGGGAAGGTACATTAGTATACAAGGGTAGAAATAAATGCCTTCGAATTTGAACTGATAGGCATCGCAGTTTACCAATGCAGTTGTGGATGTGGGTTGAGCAACTGTTAGCTATAGTTACAACAATATAAATGACAGAATTTATCCTAGATAAATGGTTCCCATCTATCACTGTGGGTCTGTCGGAAATGAAGAGTGTGCAAAACTATATAATCATTCAACACATTTACTGGGATTTTAACTTAGCCTCGATTGGGGAACTGAATTTGAGAAAGACCATGGTGAAATTCAGGTCGAAGGATGAAGAAATGGGTTGGTACAGTACATCACTTGTATATTTCAGATGAATCATTGACCGTGTACCAATGACTAATGCGAATCGAAACTAATTTAAAGACACGACAGGTTGCTTATTTACCATGAGTCTGTGATAATTGCATCTAATGATCACTCCAGTGATAAGCAATAGGAAGTATCACCCTACGTTATACCAGTTTATGGATGAGAATAAATTCATTGCACACATTTCTTTACATCTCCAGGACTATTGGTTCTTAGTAATGACATTAGATATTTAATTTCAGATAAAGGAAGAGCCAAATCGAAGAAGTGAATAACATAAAACAATAAATCATTAGCTGCTCAAATATATTATCGTCACTCTCTCACAGCATATACCACTATATTTTCCGCGAACGAAACTCAGCGGCTCTGACGCGTTATGCATTTACTCGCTAAATCGAATTACAGAGTTTAAAAGTTATTTGATAGAAAGCG